GAGCAAAAAAAAAAAACTACCAAGACAGTGGGCAGACAACCCACAAAATGGGAAAAAATATTTGCTAACTGTATATCTGACAAAAGCCTAATATCCAGGATCTACAAGAAACTCAAACAAGTTGAAAGGAAAAAAACAAACAGCCCAATTTAAAAAGTGGGCCCAAGATATAAACAGATACTTCACAAAAGAAGATACATGAGCAACCAATAGATACATGAAAAAACATTCAACCTCACTAATCATCAGGGAAATGCAAATCAAAAGCACATTTAGATACCACCTAATGCCAGTAAGAATGACCATCATTAAAATAAAAATCAACAGATGCTGGTGTGGATGTGGAGAAAAGGGAACCCTTTTAACTGTTAGTGGGAGTACAAACTAGTTCAACCTCTATGGAAAAGTGTGGCAATTTTTAAAAGATCTAGAAACTGACCTCCCATATTACTCAGCAACACCCCTTCTGGGATGATACCCAGAGGAACTCAAATCAGTCCACAAAAAACATACCAGGGCACACATGTTTATTGCAGCATTATTCACAATAACAAAAACATGGAACAAACCATGCTGCCCATCAAATGTGAACTGGATTTTAAAAATGCAACACATATGCATGATGGAATGTTACACAATCATAAAGAAGGACAAAATTTATGGACTTCACAGCAACTTGGATGGATTTAGAGTCTACTATACCCAGTGATCTATCACAGAAACAAAGAACTGAATACCACATGCTCTCACTCATAAATGGGTCCTGAACATTTATCACAATACTACAGGAGAGGGATTGGAAGCAGCAGGACACAACCAGGAAGGAAGGGAGAAGAGGGGCACATAATATCACTAAGGGTATCTGATCCTAAATTAGGGGAAATGAAGACCAAACTTTACCTGTATATAGACCACTTATATATCTAATTCTGACCTTTACCCCATATTTAAAAAAAAATAAAGGGAAGAAAACAAAAATAGATCTTTAAAATTGGTGTAAAGATAGACTCCAAGATATTTTTCACGATCTGACAGGATCTAAGGATGCATATATTTATTTTAATTACAGTGAAATAAAACATACATACAGAGAAAGAATATATGTATATATATTCTTTTTATTAGATAATTTTTAAATATACACTCTAATAACCATACAACAGGTAAAGAAATATAGCACTGCCAATACTCCCAAACACTCTTTGTTTACCTCCTCAATCACTAATCCTTCTATAACGTTAAAGATTATCAGTATCTTAAATTCCAAAATATTATTCAATCCTAAAATAACTCTTTGTTTACTTTTATTTTAGTTTTTTCACTTAGGAATATGCTTCTTAAAGTATATCACTTAGGAGAGCAATCCAAGATGGCCACCATGGAGCAACAGACTGGTGCCACTCTTACCAAGCAAAACAAGGATACTACATAAGGATAAAAAGCTCAATCCACAAGCAAGAAATATCTATTTTAAACATATACATGCCCATAAAATAAATGTACAAAAGATAATCACATCTCTACACACCAACAATAAACAAACAAGCCCAAGTAAAAAGCACAATCCCGTTTACAATAGCCACAAAAAACTGAAATACCTTGGCATCTTCCTAACCAAAGAAGTCAAAGACCTTTACAACGAACACTACAAAACACTACCCAAAGAAATCAAAGATGACACAAACAAATGGAAAAATATCCCATGTTCATGGATTGGAAGAATCAACATTGTTAAGATGTGCATCCTCACAAGGCAATCTACAGATTTAATGCAATACCCATTAAATTACCAGCAGCATTCTTCTCAGGCCTGGAAATGACAATACAGGAATTCATATGAAAACACAAATGACCACAAATAGCCAAAACAATCCTCAGAAAAAAAAAATCAGGAGGTATCACTCCCAGACTTTAAACTGTATTATAAAGCTACCATAATCAAAACAGCCTGCTATTGGTACAAGACCAGGCAAATAGACCAATGCAACAGGATAGAAATTCCAGAAGCAAAACCTCAAATTCTCAACCAATACATCTTCAACAAAGCCTCCACCACCAACCACTGGGGATGGGAGAACCTATTCAGCAAATGGTGCTGAGAAAACTGACTGACCACATTCAGAAGATTAAAAAAGACCCCCACCTGTTACCATACACAAAAATCAACTCTAAATGGATCAAAGACCTAAATGTAAAACCTCAAACTATAAGAAGCTTTGAAAATGCAGGAGACACCCTTATGGAAATTGGAACTGGCAACCAATTCCTGGTTAAAAAAAAAAACACCCAAGTGCCCATGCCACAAGAGATAGGATAGACAAGTGGGATCTCATCAAACTGACAAGCTTCTGAAAAGCCAAAGAAACTATTGAGAGAAAGGGGAGACAGCCCACAGACTGGGAAAAAATATTTGCCAACTGTATATCTGACAAAGGCATAACATCTAAGATCTACAAGGAACTCAAACATGCCGAAAAGAAAAAACAAACAGCCCCATTATAAAGTGGTCAAAAGATATGAATAGACACTTATCAACAGAAAACATATGAGCAACCAACAGATACATGAAAAAATGCTCAGTCTCACTAATCATCAAAGAAATGCAAATTAAAACCACACTGAGATAACAACTAACTCCAGTCAGAATGACCATCATCAATAACTAAAAAAACAACAGATATTGGAGAGGATGTGGAGAAAAGGGAACACTTCTACACTGTGAGTGGGAGTGTAAACTAATATAACCTCTGTGGAAAACAGTTTGGTGATTCCTAAAGGTCTAAAAATCAACCTCCCATACAATCCCACAATCCCCCTACTAGGAATATACTCAGAGGTACTCAAATCACTCTATTAAAAAGACACCTGCACGTGCATGTTTATTGCAGCACTATCCACAATAGCAAAAACATGGAACCAATCATGCTGCCCATCAAGAGGACTGGATAAAAAAAAAATTGGTACATATACACGATGGAATATTATACAGCCATAAAGAAGGACAAAATTATGAACTTCACAGCAAGTTGGATGAACTTAAAATCTATATACTGAGTGATCTATCACAGAAACAAAAGAACTGAGTATCACATGTTCTCACACATAAGCTGGACCTTGAACAACTATCATAAAACTATAAGAAAGGGTTTGACAGTAGTAGGAGACTGCCAGGGGGAGGGGGAGGCAGGATTGGCAGTAGTAGGAAACTGCCAGGGGAGGGGCGTAAACCTCATCAACAAGGGTACCTGCAAAATAAACATTTGTATACCTAACCCTAAATTGTACCCCACATACTTAAAATAAAAAATTTAAAATAAAATAAAAAACATGTATGTACCCAACACAAGAGCATTAGGTTGTATAAAACAACTACTAAGTAAACTAAGAGAGAACACTGACTCTCACACAATCATAGTTGGAGAACAAAGCACCCCACTAACAGACCTAGGCAGATCATCGAGGCAAAAAACCAACAAGGATATCTGGAACCTTAACTCAACACTTAATCAAGTGGACTTAATAGACATCTACAGAACACTCCATGAAACATACTCCAAGATCAATCACATTCTCAGATGTAAATAAAGCATGAACAAATATCAAAAGATTGAAATAATGCCATGCATCTTCTCAGATCACAGCAGAATAAACATAAATATTGCCACCAAGATCTTCCCAAAACACACAAAGACATGGACACTAAAAAACATACTGCTGAATGACTTCTAGATCAACACAGAGATTAAGGCAGAAATAAAAAGATTCCTGAAAACAAAGACACATTTTATCAGAATCTCTGGGATGCATGAAAGCAGTATTAAGAGGAAAATTCATAACACTGCACACATACATCAAGAAAACAGAACGATCACAAGTAAACAGCCTAACATCACACCGATAGGCGCTGGAATGGCAAGATCATCTAAATCATAACTTCAGCAGAAGAATCCAGATCACCAAGATAAAATCACAATACAATTTTCTAAAAAGTATATCATTTAGTTTCATTAGTTTTTACAATCTATATGAATGGACTAACACTGTATGCATTATCTGATGCAAGAACTCTGTATGTACTGTATGCACCAATCTTGAAGAACATCCTAGTTACACTGTAGAATTAACAAAGTTACCAAATTTTAGGTATAGAATTATCTCAATTTTATAAGAATAAAAATAAATCTCTATGTACTCAGGAGCATATGAATTCTGTAAGCATAGTAACAACCAGCAGTTTACATAATAAACTGCTAACAGAAATTACTTTTTAAAGGCAGTGATTGGAAGTCAAGAGATAGGGGAAGATTTTTACTTTTCAGTTTATATGCATCATACATAAATCTTTATGCAATCAAACTAAAAAATGACAAAGACATAAGACAACTCAGGAGACTCCAGCTTGCAAATCTAAACCCTATGAACTGGCAGCAAATCCCACGTGTCAGATTTTTCACCCAAGATTGCTCCCATCAACAAGCAATGGAAGTTCCTTTTGGAATTTTCAAAATGATATTTTCACAGAAATTCCCTTCTCTGATTCCTCATAAGGAAAAGCATTCTTACAACATTCCTACTAACTGACAAGACTCCAAAAAATGACTAGTCAATAGAGTAAGATCAAGAATAAATTCACAGTGCCTAAATAAGCCAGAATCTAGAGCTGAGGTGACAATACGGAAGATGGGACAGGGATTGCTGGTTGGATATCAAAAGATAGGATCTCTTACTACTAGAAAAACGGTTGAGAGTTATATAAAGTGATGTATATAAAAAGAAGAGAAACTGCGCATATTTTATTTATGTAAATACTATCATTCAAAATAATGTATGTGTTTTCAGTGGATATGAGATTGCAATCAAATGATCACACCATGGAAGTAAAACTTACTATTATTATGAAGAGTATCACACTTTTTTCTTTAAAACTTGAGATCTTGAGGCACTAACAAAGCGCATTCCCTCTACAAGTTTTAATGCCTCAGGCATCAAAATGCATTGCATTGTCTATAATTTCTTACCTTTATTGTACTTTGTCAAGATTGTAAAAACAATAAATATCCCAATGCAGAAGCTCCTAAAAGGCAAGGGCCAATTTTAGTCAGAACATGCATCCTCAAAGTTATCTGAAAAATAAATCCCACAGGTACATGTATTTAGATCCACATTGTACCTCTATCCATTTTGTGCTTCCAGAAAAGTCCACTCAGGTTATTTTGCTCCTTCTTGGCAGGTACCATAGTAATCTCTGTGTGTTTCCAGGAAGAATCAGTGAACAAGCACATCTGCTAAGTACAAGTTAAGTTCAAGATAGTCTCTTGGTCCAATGATGGACCCACTGAAAAAGAAAATATATATTCTGTATTCAAAAAGCTTAGAGTCAAATTATATAGTGTAGCTGGATCTTCTGGTATTCCCCTTTACACTCTAGAGGACAAAAAAAGTTACAGCAAAATTAACAGTAAAAGCATCTTGTATTTAACCACATAGAAATAACATTTTTATAAAGAATCTAAAAAGGCCATTACCACTACTACCAACCTATAGCGTCTAGGTAAATCCTCACTAACAAACTTAGAAGAAACCTGAGTCACCAGTAGCATTCAACAGCAATCTAATAATTAAAATTATGAGCATAGTTCATGCCATCCATATCCTTCCTATCTTTCTTCCAATTCCCTGCACTCTATTTTAAATTCTTTCCTCACTTGTTCCTATCATCTATAATTGCAGCCCAAGATAAAAAACTTTTCATATTAGCATCCCTTTCATTCTCATATTCGCTCAAATAAGGTCTTATCCTCTCAATCAGTTCCTTCATGCAATTTCTTTTCTAGCTCTTTTCATTTTGCTTTATTAAATCCTTATTCACTCAGCCATTAAAAATGAACAAAATCAAGTCCTTTGCAGCAACATAGATGCAGCCAGAAGCCATTATTCTAAACAAATTAATGCAAAAACAGAAAAGCTGGGCATACACAGACATAAAGATGAGAACAACAGACACTGGAGCCTCCCAAACGGGAGAAGAAAAAAGGAAGGAAATGCTCAAAGTTCTACCTATTGGGTATCATGTTCACTATATGGGTGGTGGATTCAACAGAAGCTCAATCCTCACCATCACACATACCCGTGTATACCCATGTAACAAACCTGCACATGTACCCCTGAATTTAAAATAAAATTGAAAAATCAAAATTAAATTAATTCTTATGATATGGATTTCTCAGGTCAGCCTGGGCTTCAAGAGTGTCCGCTTCAATAAGTCGGCCGGCTGAGCCCTAGAGAGGGTCAGCTCAAGGGGCTTGTAAGCCCAGCCCCAGAAATGTTGGCTCTAATGGGCTGGCAAGTCAAGCCCTGAGGGCGTTGCTGATTCAGTTAGCTGGCAAGCCTACCTCTGGTAGTGTCTCAGCTTTGGAATCTCACCTTCTTCCAGCAGCTCTCCCAGCTCTGCAGGTTCTATCGCTGGCAAGGCAGTCTCTGGAGTGCACGGCTCTTCAGCTACGATCTTCAGGTCAGGGTTCTTATCTTGTGCCCAGGAGGAATAAGGGACACTGGCAGCTGGAAAGTGAGAAAGCAGGATTTATTGAGAGGACAGAAAAGCTCCCACAGTGGGAGGGGACCCGAGGTGGTTGCTGATTTGGAACTGTAACCTAGTATTTATATAGCCCTAAGACAAAGTCGAGTGGCTAGCACTAGCTATGAGCTGACTGGTCAGCACTAGCTGTTCTGATTGGTCAGTCCTGAGGACCAATCAGCAGGAAGTAGGGGCCTAACGGTGAGCTGATTGTTTAGTACTTGGCAGTGAGCTGATTGGTCGTTTTTCAATCCCAGCAGTGAGTACTTAGTTTGAGAGGCTTGCCGGGAGTTTGTTTACCAATGCGAGTGTCAGCCTGAGGCCTGCAAGAAGTTTGCTAGTTTGCTACATTGTTACTGGAGGACCTGCCCTGTCTGCCTACCTAGCTTTTCTCTAGCTATCTCCTGTCTCACTTACTCAATTTATATATACCAGCAGTGTTTCTCAATCTTTTCTTCAACATCTGTCCCCAAAGTCTTTTTAAACAGCCTTTTTTCCTATTAATTCAAAATCATGAAATTTTAATATCATAAATACACTATGCATACATGCATTATATTTATATCTGTGCTTAATATATTTAAAGAGTAAGATTTTTTTCACCCTCCAAGAGCCAATTTTGCCCATTTAGGGACACTATTGTCCTGATTAACAATACAAGCTATAATCCTTTTTTTACTTTCTCACATTGAATAATGCCTAGATTTTCCCTGAGAAAATATTTCCCTCCAGACCCTCCCAAGAGATATTTTATCATTTTCCCACAGTTGCCATAATTAGAGAGAAAAAGTGTCATTCTCCTTTAGGGCTGCTCCAAGATTTCTTAGACACAGGCTTTCAACTCCTTCACTTCTGTGGTCTAACCCATCCACCCCCATTCTCAGTGCTGTTAACTATTGATTTTCTGCTCATCCCTCCTCATTCAGTTCAATACTTTCTCCACTTTAACTTCTACCTCATCTTGGATGGTTTTATAAAACATAACAGTAGTACACACAATCCCTGTGATTCCTTAATTCTTTTTACTTCCACGATATTTGTTTTCAGTATAGTTCAGTATACTACTCCCATGAAAACACCCTAAAAGAGGTTGCACATCTACAGTCATACCACTTTGAAAACACCAGATCTCATCTAAAATAGGTCACAATTGAAACACAGTGAGTTTCCACATTTTGTGCCCCTTTATCCAATAACCCTGCTTTTGAAAACAATTGTAGAAACCTCCAAGCTACTGGCACTTCTGTACTCCCCCAATCTATGAGCTCCCACTTAGGTTCACTTTTCCCCCTACTAACATAAAACTTTGTCAGTGCTTTAATGTCTTTTTATTTCACTGCCTGATCCATTTACTGAATTATCACTGCTACTAATTCACAAAACTAAATCAATACAACTGCTCATAGGCATCTATTATAAATATTCTTAGCAGAGACAGGAGGGAAGATAGAAAGCTACTGAAATAATCCAGGAAACAAAAATTGTTTACTTTATTCAGAGAGAGAAAAAAAGGTACAGAAATGTGGGAAAATTCCAAATACATTTTGAGAAGTAATTTTTGCATTTTATATCACACATTGAGGACAAATTATATAAGTTTTTCATACGTCAAAAAAAACCTATTCCCCGATATTAAAAGAGGTAAAGGATAGGAATGAAGTTCACAGAAAATTAACTGATAATAAAGTAAATGCTAATTAAATTACCCTGATAATATTTCACCTATCACAGTGATAACTATCAAAAATTAACATACTATTGCTAATAAAAATTAATAGACATAATATTTTGTTGAGTTGGAAGAGAATCAGGCATTGTATTGATGGAAATCTAAATTAGTATAATTTCTATTTTAAAATAAAAATCAATATATGTTGTATAGAAAAAGATCAGAAACAACTTAATTATCCAATAATAGAAAGATGGTTAGTAAATATAGTTAATGGGATATTTTGCAGCCATAATAATGTTAAAAATTTTATACAATGATATAGAATAATCTCTAAGATATAGATTAACCTTTAAAAACAAGGTACAAAACTGAATATGTAGTTTGCTATCATTCTGTTTAAAAATATACGTAGGCATGAAGTATTTCTGAAATAAAAAGCAGCTAGTTATAATGGTTACTTCTGGGTTGCTTTAAAACAGAGATAATGAAATCAGCTCAACTTTCCCATAGAATGAATAGATATACAGTTGTTGTTTTTTTAATAAACATAGAAATTGACCCTCCTGGTCTTAACGCTTGAAACTTACATTTATCTTACCTAAGTTCTTTTCTCAGGAAACTAAAATAGACCTTCCTGACCTTAAAGACTGAAAATTTACATTTGTCTTATCTGAGTTCCTTTCTCAGGAAACCAACCCTCAGGCCAAAAGTATCAAGAATCTGGAACTCTCCAGATCACTGCATCCAGACAATGAGATGCCAGACCCTGTCTGTTTGCCAACTCTTCTTTCTTACCCCTCTCCAATTCCTGTTTACCAAATCCTCTTCCTTACCTCACCCTAATTCTTATTTTTTACATTCCCACCCTACTATATAAACTCCTGACTTCAGTGATATGGAGAGATGAAACTGAGGAAAAAAAAAATCTCTCGTTCTTCTTGGTTGACATCACTCAATAAAAAGTCTTCTTCCCTGACAATACTCATTGTCTCGGTGATTGGCTTTCTGTGCAATGAGTAACAGGACTTTAACGGAAAAGTTGGCATTTCAATAAGAGACTTTGGTTCCCTGACTGGGAAAGTGTTACTCGTGGCATGGGTGCTGTGAAACACGAGAGCTTCAGGAACCCTCCTAGCAGATATCTGAACTTTTTTGGTCAGAGGTTGATTTCAGTCTCTCTCTCTCTCTGGCCCTGCCATTGCCAGCTCACAATTGCGTTTCTGATTGCCTAGGAAGGATAGCCTTTGAAATTTGGCATGTGTAACTGGCCAGGTGAGTATCCTTTGTGGGTACCAGATAGCAGGATTTCTTCCTTCAATTTGGGGGACTCTAAAAGAGCTTCCATTTGCAAGGTGGAATGGAAATGTAAGTTGAAGCCCAACCAACAAAGAGAGAAAGTACCCTGTCTCATTTTGGATGCTTGGGGATTGTTAGTTGATACTGCACTTGATTGTAGTGTGTGTGTGTGTGTGTGTGTGTGTGTGTGTGTGTGTGTGTGTGTGTGTGTGTTGATAAGTCATGGGAAATCAGAATCAATCCCCTAATGCAGTCCACTTGAATGTATTCTTCAAAATTGATCTGATTATAGTTATGAACCAATGAAACAAAGGAAAATGATATTGTTTTGTCATGCTGTTCAGCTTCAATGTTCTTTGAAGTTTGATGAGGTTGGTCTTTTTGCTGTTGAATGAGAAAGCAGGATGGAGTTCCATATATTTGGGGTTTTATGCTGCCATTCTAAACAGGATTGGGCTTGGTTGCTATGTGATGTTCCTTTGTGGTAGTGTTTGGCCTCAGTGTTCTTTGAAATCTGTGGAGGTTTGGCCTTTAAAAATTAAACTACTAGCCAGGCTCGGTGGCTCAGCCTGTAATCCCGCGCCTTTGGGAGGCTGAGGTGAGTGGATTGCCTGAGCCCACGGGTTCAAGACCCGCCTGGGCAGCGAGACCTCATCTCTACAATAAATCAAAAAATCAGCTGGGCATGGTAGCACATGCTTGTAATTCCGGCTACTTGGAAGGCTGAGGCGGAAGGATCGCCGGAGCCCAGCAGGTCGAGGCTGCGGTGGCCAGGAGCGGCCACTGCACTCCACTCTGGGCGACAGAGTGAGACGCCAAATCAAAAAAAAAAAAAAATTAAACCACCATGGAAATTGCTTTACTCAAAATTTTGATTCATGGGCTTCACTGGCTTACCAATTGGGGTAAACTAAGTTTAGCCAGGTGAACATGTTCATAAACCAATGAGTGCATATTGCTATCTCATGGCTAGAGTTATCTTTGCTTGTGTGTGTGTACAGATGTTTTGGTGTGTTTTTAATGCATGTACATTGTATGTTGTATCTATAGGGCACCAAATTGGATTATAAATAAAAGAGTGCCCATAAATTAAGTCAGTCTAAGCATTTTTTTGTTTTTAGTTGGAGTCTCACTTTGTCGCCCAGGCTGGAGTGCAGTGGCACACTCACAGCCACCACAGCCTTTACCTGATGGGCTCAGGTGATCCTTCCACCTCAGCCTTCCAAGTAGCTGGATCTATAGGCACACACCAACACACCTAGCTAATTTTTTTAATTTATTGTAGAGATGAGGTCTTGCCAAGTTACCCAGGCTGGTCTCAAACCTATGGGTTCAAGCAATCCTCTCACCTCAGCCTCCCAAAGTGCTGGGATTATAGGCGTGAGTCACTGCATCCAACCTAGTCTAAGCATTTTTCAAATTCATGTGACTTAAGTAAATCTTTAATAAACAAACTGGTTTTAAGATATTGTTAAAATAAATAAGTACATTTTTCATTAAAATATTTTAAAATCTTATCACCGTATATAAAAATCAATCCAAATCAAGGACTTAAATGTAAAACCTCAAACCGTAAAAATCCTAGAAGAAAACGTAGGGAATATCCTTCTGGACATCAGAGTAGGCAAGGCATTCATAACCAAGTCCCCAAAAGCAAATGCAACAAAAGCCAAGAGAGACAGGTGGGACCTTATCAAACTGAAAAGTTTTACACAGCAAACGAAACCATCAAGAGAATAAAGAAACAACTCACAGAAAGGGAAAAAATATTTGCAAGCTATGCATCTGACAAGGCCTAACATCCAGGATCTACAAGGAATTCTAATGAATTGAAAGGAAAAAACAAACAACCCCATTAAAAAGTTGGCAAAGGATGTGAACAGACACATCCTAAAGGACGACATACAAATAGCCGGCACATGAAAAAATAAAATGCTCAGACTATCAGAGAAATGCAAATCAAAACTACAATGAGATAACACCTAACTCTGGCACGAACGGCTGTAATTAATTACT